GGGGGGGGGGGGCATGCCACCAGACCCTTCTAGAGGCTCGCGCCTTCGGTGGTCGACTCAGTTGTCTCAGAGTCCTACTTAAGCATGGCCTGAGCTGCTCCCCTATGACGTATACTTATTAGTTAAACCATGCATATATATGCTGTAGGTAGCTGCAGTGATACAGACAGGGCTGTAGCGAGGAGGGGGTATTGGGGGGGGTGGGGGGTGGTTAACCCCCCAACTTTTTTAGAATCAACATATTCAGAAAATCGGGTTGGCCATTCGGAAAATTATGGCAACAATAGTAGAACAAAATTTTAGTTGTTAAACAGAGAAAATATTATAAAATTGTATTGTCACTATAAACGCTTTTTTCTGACCATCAGCATTCTGTCAAAACTTCCCCAAAGTCCAGCAAATGGCATTTCAAAGACATTTCTATGAAATGGCATTTTGAAAAAAGAATGATTATTAGCAAATTATTGGGAGGGCTGCAGCCCCCCCCCCCCCCCCCCCCCCCCCCCCCCCCCCCCCCCCCCCCCGTTGCTACGGCCCTGGAAGTAATATTAAAACCGAAAAACATTTTTACGATTTGTTAATATGAGCTAATATCCTGCTAGTAGAGAACCAATCAGATTGCAGAATACCTTATATCCAAACCTTGTGTATGTAATAAATCTGGTTATCAAAATATTTATCAACATATGTTTTCATAAAGCAAAGCAGAAATGTCTTGCTCCGAAATTGTGCTGAACAGTGAACTGAATCAATGTAGTCTATTATATCTTTGTATGTCTTAATGTCTAGGAACGCAAGGTTTCACGGCTTGGAAACACCACGGAAAAATAGCTTACTGCGCGTTTCCGATCGCGCATGACCACAATGCACTGCGCTAGATTGTTTTGAGATAAAAATGTAGATGGCTACACAAACTAGATCTGCTACGTCGCTCGCTCGCTTCAGGCTCGCTCGCTTCCGCAGCAATTAGTTGTACTTTATGTAGATATATCCTGTAGCCTTACTCCGTTTTAATAATTTATGTATGTTATGTGAATGTGAATTGTCCTGTACAGATATTTAGTTAATTTTAGAAGGTCCAGTGGAAGATTAGCTTTTGCTAAACTGGCATGTATATGTTACTTGTAAATGAACCTTCTTTAAAGAAAGTTTAAAAATAATAATGAACTACGGAAGAAATTTGCAGTCGACTGCATGTCATAATGCGCCACAATCTCAAAGACCAGGAAAATATTCCAATATTCTACTAAGGGAAACATAACTCCAGTGAAGCTGGAGTACATTGCATAGCTTATATCACGTCCCATACTATAGCCATAAGTTTAAATTAATTTCTGCCTAGTTCTGCATGTGTTATTTAACTATTTTCAGTGGCGGACACTTCCAGTGTGGGAATTTCTTAACATGTATGCCAAAGGGGTTTCAGTGTCCATGATTTTTAAAAGGCTCCAAGATCAACCTCGCAAGCCAGGGTCTTTTACCTGCGCTCGGGCTCCGGCGAAGACCCTGGCTCCCTCTGGTCACGTGAACCCCCAGATTTTAGGGGTAATTCGAATTGCCGCCTCTTTGCCACTAAGGGAGGAGTGGTAGGGAGAATTCAAGAGCGAAAACGAAAACGTTTATAACTATGCCTATGGAAAATACGGCCATTTACGCTCTGTATTCATCCATATTTTGGGTTTTGTCGGTTTTTGTGTTATTTTTTATGAAATATGTCACCGCCTGGCGCTTGAAAGCTTTTTACACCTACTTGATATAATTTGCATGGCTGGAGATCTGTTTTACACCTTGATGTGGAGCCATTATTTATCAACGCAAAGAAAATAAAGGTCGAATGCACACTTATACAAAGTCAAAGTACAGTATACAGTAGCTCTCAAGCTATGGCACAGCGAAAGGAAACTCCAAAGATTATTTACCCGAAATCCGCTTTGTTTTCGGAATGCAAGTGTCGCCTTTGTGGTAGTATATTATCGACAAGTAGTATTGCAACAACCTATTCTTAGAGCTAGCTGAATAGCGAAATAAAAACCTGCTTCGTATCGCAGGATTTGTGAATTGTGGAACTCGTGCGTGTGATGACCGATGATGGATTTTCTTATCTTCCTAAATTAACATTAAATTAAAAGAATGGGGGCCAAAAAAACACCCAAGACAGTGAAGCCAATCGAATGTGTAATATTAAAGTATACCGACTGGAGGAATATCGATCTGCAGAAATGATAAACAACTTCGACATAGCTGTAGGAATTGAGCCAAGAAGGCATCCTCTCACAAGCACAAATCTTCGGAGAAAATGTTATTTTATGTGATCTCTTGGAATTGAAACCATTTGCAATGAACAATACGGTATGTGATCACTTTCATGAAGGTTTCTTCACAGATATATCATCAGATACATTAGCAACATTATAAACAAATTGTCGCTGCATTTGATGACTATAGCTAAACGAACACAAAAGGAACATTCACCAAGCACGTATCAGTGGACAACACATCAGAAGATGAAGAGGAATTATGACTGTGAATACTGTATTCTGTAACACTTGCACGAATAAGCAACAATGAAATGTATGACTGTAGCACAGGCTACCAAGACTACCCTAGCTTGAAAGGATTAATAGATGCACAATTTGCACTTGTCCTATATTATAATGCAACTATTCCAATTAAGGTTAGTGTCACAGACAATAGTTAGTGTCACAGACAATAGTCGAAAATTTGTGAAAAAGTCGCCTTGAATCAATTTGGTTCGTATCTAATGAAGAACAAAAAATTGTCAACCCACCAGAGCGGGAACAAGAAACATCACTCATGCGAAACATTGAATCTTTTGACCGGAGATACTATCCTAAAGGCCATGGATGGGAAATTGGTTACTGCACTGATTCTAATAGATCTATCTAAAGCTTTCGACAGTGTAAATCATACTTTTCTCCTTATAAAACTTAGCAACGTCGGGGCTTCTCCAAGCGTTGTAAAATGGTTTGAGAGTTACTTGACCGGAAGAACTCAATCAGTCAGAATTGGATCAACTGTGTCTACTCCTCTCCCTGTTTCTTATGGTGTACCACAGGGTGCAATTTTATCACCTTTACTTTTTAGTATTTATACTAACGATTTGCCCTCATCAGTCCACCATAGTAAACTTGAATCGTACGTGGATGACTCCAAGATATTACTATCTTTCACTGTGGCTAACGTGGACTGTTTAAAGCAACAACTTGAGGAAGACTTGTATTTGATTGCAAACAGTTGTTCCGAAAATGAATTGCTTATTAACCCGAGAAAGACCAAATACATGCTGATTGGCACACGGCAAAACCTACAACAACTTCCCGTAGATATGACCATAAACTTCCTCAACGAGACTATTACCCCCGTCTCCTTTGCCAAAGATCTAGGAATGACAATCGACTCTTATTTGACATATGACCAGCACATCACCAACCTGGTTTCCTCGTGTATGAATTCCCTGTGCCAAATAAACCGAGTCAAAAAATGTTTCGATAAAGAAGCTTTAACTCTCATCGTCTCGGCACTTGTAATGAACAAAATGTTCTATTGTTCAACGGTTTGGTCAAACACTTCGTCCACCAACATTAAGAAACTACAGTTGGTACAAAATTTTGCATGCAGGATAATAACAAATATTGGAAAGTTCGACCATATTTCGCCGGGCTTACGCGAACTTAACTGGCTCCCAGTAAAGGAACAATTACTACTAAGAGAGGCTATTATGATGTACAAATGTGTCAATGAACTTGCTCCACATTATTTGAGCGATTTATTCACAAAACGTTCTGACATTCATCAACGAGATACACGTAGCCATGACTAGCACTGCAAATACCATTGTACAAAACTTCTGCAGGTCAAAGGTCCTTTCATTATAGAGGCGTTACACTCTGGAATGATTTGGACATTAAGTTCAAAAAGTTAGACTCCCTAAAAACTTTCAAAAACGAACTGAAGCGAAGCATGCTAGAACAAATATATAAGTAGATAATTTTACCTTGTTAAACTTTATACAAATGTCTTACCTTTTTACCTTAATTTAAATTCTAGATTCTAAAACTTGTAAATAGAACAACATTTATTTTTTGTAAATCAGTGTTGAAAATCCCTATTTAGGGAACACAATAAAGTATGTATGTATGTTAAATGTACAATTGAACGCTAAAAAAATCCTATTTTAACATATCAATAGCCTCACGGGAATACAAATTAAATTGGTATTCATAACATATTTGAGGTTTAAACTTATTGAAAACTATCATTATTCCCATTATTCATTTAGCACTCATATTATTGTACATCTGACTATTGTCTGTGACATCTTTAATTGAAATAGCTGTATGGGTACAGTATACTGTATAAATATGACATATATTCAATTTAGAATTTTGTTCTGGCACTGCTATATGGGTTTTTGTATACTGTCCATGAAGTAAATTGAGTTTATATATGCAAATAATGACATATATATGAGAGAGTGCAACTTGTGCCCACTTTAAAAAAACTGAGTTCAACAAAATTCACATTTGTGATTAATTGTGTATTCATTTGGTACAAAGTCAAGAATATTTTACAGGCCAAAAATATTTGTCTAATCAGGTAAAATCATTCCCTTTTCATATCGAAACTACACTCGACACATAAATATTGTCATTGTGTTTTGCATACACTACAGCATAAATTGGTCTGCAAATGTCCGCCAAGGCAAGGTGCTTGTATCTGAATGCCTTTTCGTAAATGATATTCTTTCGCTCAGAATTTGCAACCAACTCAAAGCAATTATTCAAGCCAAGTGATTCTTTTATGTGCATTCGGTGAAGTTTATATGTTGTAGCAGTCATGCAATAACGACTGGTACGTTATTAACACGCAATATACTACGTTTGGCATAAAGTGAACAAAATTGAGATAACAATATAATGGATTCAAAAGTAACGTGTAGAATTAGTTTTGTCTTTTGGTCAATTTCAGCTACATCGCAATCAATCTCTTCGTTGTGACATTTTAATGGCTGCTGAAAAACATTTATTGCTGATACTCTGAGTTTTATCGCACATAATTTTCGAGCTGGATTTGTTTATCAAAGGCGCGTTCGCGATATACTGTAACGAGCAGCATTACTCATTTACACAAACGCCATGAGTTGGACATTCTCCTAACGCTCTTTTAGCGAAAAGTGTCAAAGGCAAAAGCTGGTAAATCAGCGACTCGCCATATTACCGGTTGGAAAAATTGCCAGTATATACACACCAAAGGACAGCTTTTCCAAGCAAATAACCTACTTGGGCTTCAAAATAGTGTTTGCATACAAAATATAGAAAACTGCAGACAAATAAGAAAAATAACACATTTTGAATGTTTTTGCATATTACAGTTGAAGTCACTTCTCATAGCACAGTCACTCCTTGGCGGGCCTTGAAAACACAACATTAAACCGGAAGTTGTAAATTACAAGATATCACATTTCAACCACCCTCCCCTAGGACCTCTTGTTGCCCTAATTTTTAGGAGCTCACGTGACCAGAGGGAACCAGGGTCTTTGCTGTAGCGCCGTGCGGAAGTAAAAGACCCTGGCTTGCGAGGTTGCTCCAAGATATGCGAATCTTTCAGAACGTGGGTAATTTGATTATTGTATATGTTTGTACACATTATTGTGTGCGTCTGAGTTTGAATAATAACTTTTTCACATTAATTTGCGATGATCTTATACTATATAGCGTACTTGTATTTTTCTACTTATAGCTTACTATTTATGCTCTTTGTATGATGCATGAACAGACAAGACAGTTCTATTGAAAGGACGTTAGATGGAGAATTACGTTTATGGGTGTGACCTCATGCTTGCCACTTGCTCCTAGTAAACAATGTTTGTCAATTGTGATATTTGGTACCTGACTTTTATAGTTCTTTCGAAATTATCCTCCCCCCCCCCTCGTCGCACAGTGTCCGCCATTGATTATTTCGAGTGATTCTTGAATAAAACGAAGGAAACTTTGAACGTCTACTTACATTTGACAGTCAGTTGTGTAGAAGGATTGGTTAAAGCACTTCCAGCTTTATTACTTGCTTTACACACATATGTCCCGATGTCATTTCTCGTGACATTACTAAATACCAGGTTTGGATTATCAGTATTTGTTTTTCTAATTCTTACATTGTTCTTTTCCCAGATAATTTCAATTGGTTTTGGACTTCCTTCTGGTTCACATTTTATCGTCACTGATTTGCCTTCATCAGAAGTTTTTGATCCAGAATCAAAACTGTCCGGCGGATAATACGGTATTACTAAATAAAAAGGCAAATTGCATTCAATGGATCATACCTCACCTACACAAAGGATTATTCAAAATGTTTCCACCTCGCGGCATACTGTAACTGTTAAAAAACTGGGGGTTTTTCGTATAGACTAATCTGATTTTGGCAAAGTTTGTAGATGGAGTATGAACAATAGAAATTGGGACACATTAAACACAACTGTATTAAATGACACAAACAACATTGTGCTCCTATTATGCTAACACGGTTAATAGATACTATTTAGAAATTAATCGTAGCCATATTGATTTTCATTTCCTTTAGCCGACGACCAGTGTCTTGAAATTTTGTGTCTGCATGAAATCTACGAGAAATGCAACGCAAAACAGTGTCGTGGGCTGTGCCCCCAAAACTAATAACCTTAACTTTGGAGAGGCGTAGTCGCCTTCTACTTTTTTTTTTTGGGGGGGGGTCGACGTCAGAGCCTCCATTCCCCTTGCCTCCTCGTTCCACAGTCCAAGAGAAACTGTACAATGTATTGTTGCATGCATGGGATCTTGAATAATTACAGTGTCGACATAATTCCGTTTGTAAAATGAACAACTAAAATTCGAAAGAATTGTATCCTACATATAGGCCAAGAAACCACGAAAGCATGTAGTAAATACTCGCAACTTACCAAGAACGTTGAGCCTTATTCCGTATGTGTCTGTTAATGGCGTTCCAGCACTTGACAAATATGTTAATTCCAGGGTATATTCGCCATCATCATCTGTATTCGCTTTAATGACATTCAGAACTATCTTTTTGGTATTCTGACTGTGTGTAACTGACCATCCTCTCCCAGAATACTTTGGATACGTCACAATATTAAACTCAGACTTGAAAAGTGCAATGTTAACCACTGCCTTTCCAGGTGGTGCCAACTTGATATTACCTGATAAATAGCTTTCACCAGGATTCGTAGAGAAACCCCATGTCCCTTGAACATTGCTACCCGAGTTAACATCCATTTCTGAATTTTGACCATTTATTTGGAAACTTGCTAAATGGAAAAAATAAAAAAAAATATTAATATAAATTACCTCATATTTACTGCACTTCCATGCATGTGATAATTACTGCGACTATATTAGCCTTTCTCACGCCGCCATTTTTGGGGTACTTTTTTGCCAATCGTAAGGGCGACATTTTATATTTTTTTGGGTGTATGATGTAAATTTACTCGGTAAATTGTTAGTTTGTTCTGAAATATTGCTTTTCACATTGTTATAATCGTTTACGAAAAATTACAGTACGTACCCCAAAAATGGCAGCGTGAGAAAAGCTAATTGTTTTTACCCAGTACATAACGCTCATAAAATGGATGATGTTAGTCTCGTTCGAGTTAATCTTGGGATTAATGGAGAAAATAAAAAAAAATATTAATATAAATTACCTCATATTTACTGCACTTCCATGCATGTGATAATTACTGCGACTATATTAGCCTTTCTCACGCCGCCATTTTTGGGGTACTTTTTTGCCAATCGTAAGGGCGACATTTTATATTTTTTTAAGTGTATGATGTAAATTTACTCGGTAAATTGTTAGTTTGTTCTGAAATATTGCTTTTCACATTGTTATAATCGTTTACGAAAAATTACAGTACGTACCCCAAAAATGGCAGCGTGAGAAAAGCTAATTGTTTTTACCCAGTACATAACGCTCATAAAATGGATGATGTTAGTCTCGTTCGAGTTAATCTTGAGATTACTGTCAGTGACAGATGATTTGCGTTTCGCCCAACACATTTCCAAAATAACTTTAAAAATTAAAAGCCAATAGAACTTGAGGCTTAAGTAAGAGGGTATGCACAAATATTAAGGACGTCCATATAAGAAACGTTTTGTATATTGGCCTCTGATAAAACTTCAGTGAATATGCTAGTGAACTCTGGTCTCCTGAACAAATTATTTATAAGCGTATCCAAGAAAATGTTCCACGTAGAACAACTAAATACTATTCTCGATTACCCTCGACACTTAAACTATAAGGAGTGATTAATACTTTAATCGTGCGAATTTAATTCACAGTCATGGTACACGAGGTCATGACTACAATTCTGTTGTCCCTAAACCAAATACCAATTTTTTAAAAAATAAATTTTTGAAATTAGGAATTCCACTTCCCCAAAAATATTCAAAAATAAACTGTAGTATTAATTTGTTATGTATACTTTAATTTCTAGTTCAACTTGTAAATATTGTAAATATTTCAAATGTCACGGCGCCTGGGAAGATCATCTTATTTTCGATGACAGGCTCACAGGCCTCCGTGCCTAAATAAAGTTCACTATTACTAAATAAATAAATAAATAAATAAATAAATAAATAAAGTTCACTATCCCAACTAAAACTGCTTCCATTAGAATATCATTGAACATGGAAGGATCTCGTTTTTCTTCATAACACTAGATGTCAACAATTATATAACATTCCATCAAAACGAACAGATTTCAAAACAGTTTTATCCTGTCATCATGTACATTTGCATGATATCGTAGATATCTGAGGGTTTTAGATGACTGTCGCATCGCGTATTTTACCTAGGCCTGTTTTATACGTCGAATTTTGGTCGCGTCGAATGCAATTAAGACAATAGATAATGAGATGATAAACCTCATTAAGCTTCATTAATTTTTAATTAATTACTTGCTGGGGCACCTGTGCCCAGGCGAGTATAGGTTTCGCCACACATTTTTGGTGGATGTCAGATCGTCGCTGATAGCCACAAAATAGAATATTAATGAACTGCCAATTTTTACCAATTTTTACCCAAATGTCCATAAGGCTCCTTCCAAATTGTAACCCAAATTATCCATAAATAAATAACCCTAAGTCTTGAGGAAATTTAAAGAATTTTACTAGAAAACCCAAAATTGACATGAAAACAGCGACCTTCGGCTGTTTTTAATCATTTTACTACGCTTTCACGCTTTGCGTCTTTTGAGAAGAAATATTTACAGTAAAGAAATCTTTACAACGATGTTTACCGTAAGTAAATTGAAATGTGATTTAATTTCAAATACGCTCACATAACTATTTTTCAAATAGTTTGTACGCGGTTGTGGTATCGCTAGTTTGCCGGTGGTGTCTCTCAACGTATAATTTGTAATGTTACTGCGATCAACAAACATTTCGGAGAGGTAATCTGGTGCAAGGCCATTCACAGATTTATATACCATGATAGTTTTGGCAATCTTACGCTGAGATGCAAGATTTTTCCAACCAAGTATTTCAAACAGATAATCGGCATTTGTATCATAACTGGATGACGTCAGTACTCTTGCGGCACGATTTTGTAGTTTTTGTAGTTTATCCGCACGAGTACTCCCGCAACTATCCCAGATAACTGAGCAGTAGTCGAAATATGGCTGGACTAGACATTTGTAAATCAGTTGCATTGTGGAAGGTGAAACAAAAGGTCTTATGCGCTTTAAAGCACCTATGCCACTAGCAACTTTTTTACACAATTTTTCAATGTGAACATTCCAGGACAACTTCTCATCGATATGTGTGCCCAGTGACTCTGTGTGAGAGACTTGCCTAACTGGAACGTTGTTAATTGCCAAAGAAGGAGTTGCGTGAAAAGTATTTATCCTTTGATGGGAGCCAATCAACATGAATTCAGTTTTAGTTTGATTTAAAGTAAGCCTATTTGCTGATAACCTTTCACTGACATGGGCAAGATCTTCATTAAAGTTATGATTGATATCGTAAATATTATTACTTGCATATGTCAAATTAGTGTCATCAGCAAACATACGTGCACGGGAATGTACAAGACAATTAGGCAGGTCATTGATATAGATTAAAAATAGAAGTGG